GCACCTAAAAATATGAGTATTGGTGGTCTTCTTATCAACAAAAGACCTACTTGGAGCTTCACTGTTCGCAACTCCCCATCCATAACCGAGCATTCGGTGACTTCGTCAAAGGGGTCGGTCTCAATATCCCCGGATCCTCTCTGGGATATGATTATCTTCTTAACTTCGGCCCTCTTGTTTTCGTCTGCACTTGTGGCTCGATTCGTACGGATCACAGCGGCTCCTGCCACATCTTCAAACAAAAAGGTGATTCCAGGATACTTCATAGTATCTCCTTCATAAGTAGGCCCAAAGTTCTTCATAACACCCGATCTTCGAAGAGTTTCATCTGGAGAAGAAATGATGATATTCTTATATCTGAGGGTCAAGGATGATCCTCCTCCTACACCTCGACTCCTGGTAGAACTCGCCGAGCTACCTGCTGTCATTCCTAAGGACTGTGATGCCATTCGTGGTGAAGATGGTAGGCCATGGCGTAGACGTCGAACAGCTATTGTATGCAACCGCTGACCCTTGCCACTGAACAGTAGATCTATGTAAGGATGCAAATGGACAATTGTAATTGACGATGCTGGAGATGTTGTATCATAAATGATGTTGACACTCGGAAAGTAGGTCTTTGATTGCGGCTGCCGTACCAAGGTCAGGACTGACCACAACGAAGCACCTGTATACGCGTACTCTGGTCAAGTGGGTGTTCAAGATATAGCTACTAGAACATACCTAGCTTGAATGGACCCAAACCTTCTCCTGGACGTAAATCTAGTTGCAACATGACTGTGGATAGGGGAAAGCGTCTGCAGGATCCTGCCGTGCCACCTTGCTGCCACCCTCATCCACAGCACGAGGACACTAGAAGATTCCAGCCATGCATTTGATGTATACTTTGGATGAAAATGGGAATAGAGTCTATACTCTGAAAGTACGCGTCCTTCAACTCGAACATTCTCGTAGTTTCTGACATGACTCTATCACAGAAAGTCACTGCCGAAGGCAAGGTGACAAAATCTGCTCACCCAGGTAAGTTTAATAAATTTGTAACTTTTATGATGGTTCAGCGAAGAGGCTCCCGAGTACTGACCCTTTGAACCATCGCCAGCTCGATTTTCCCCCGACGACAAGTACTCAAAGTACAGAATAAAGGTCAAGGAACGATATGGAGTACTTCCTACTCAACTTCCAGCCAAGCCATACTAAGTTTTTGGCATCCAATATTACTAGACGGTTAGCCTACATTCAGTGACACTTCGTCGGACAAATGGACTTATACGACCGTTCATTTTTAGCGACGCATGACGTGATCTGGACAAAACTGCATGCTCCCTTACACGTGTGGATCCCTCTCGCTGCAGTGAAGAAGCTAATATCAGTCACTCTCTCCATAACGGCGGGTTTACCACAAAATCCTAATAGCAATCTAGGAGTAATATAGGGTGGCTCTGATGCACTTATCATCCAATCTCATCATTTTTAAAGTCCACACTGCTGCCCCGGTCCGATTTACCAGATAGTCAGCGATGGTGCCGCCCTTCCTGTTTAAACTAAACTGTTTAAAGTTAAGGTGTTCGAACAGCGTGTTCTACAGCAACCGGCGGACTGAAACTGATCTAACCTAATAAAAAGTATGATAACGAAGTGATTTTAAAAGATTGTGGTTCGAGTTCACATCTCAGGCACCGTCGAACTCTCGTTCGACAAGTGGTCAGGGCGTAATATATCCTTCACCTCCACCATATCCTCTCTATCTCCCAAAACCTTCAAAATGGTCTTATCTAGCGTTCTTGGATTCCCTCGCATTGGTAATGACTCTTTTAAACAACGCCCCGATGTCCCATCGATCTGATCATCGCTGCAGGAGCCAATCGTGAGGTCAAAAAGGCCGTCGAGGCCTACTGGGGCGGAAAAATTAGTGCCGATGACTTGCAAAGGACAGCAGCTGAGACCAGGAAGACCAACTGGACGACCATCAAAGACCAGGGTGTTGATATCATCCCAAGGTACGCGATCTCTTCCAGATGGCGCGATTTCGCCTGATCACCACGTTTCTAGCGGCGAGTTCACTCTCTATGATCACGTCCTCGACCACTCGACTGCTTTCAACGCCATTCCCCCTCGTTATCAAGGCCTTGATCTCTCTGACCTCGATGTTTTCTTCGCGATGGGTCGTGGTCGCCAGGCCGATGGTGTCGACGTGCCAGCTGCTGAGATGAAGAAATGGTGAGAATATAATGTTCTATCTCCTCTTGTCTTACTTATTTTGTCATCAGGTTCGACTCGAACTACCACTATGTCGTGCCAGAGCTGTCGGACAACACCGAGTTCAAATTGAACTACAACAAGGCCCTCAACGAGTACAAGGAGGCCAAGGCGTGCGGTATCACTACCCGACCCGTCGTTCTTGGTCCTCTTGCCTTTCTCATCCTCGGTAAGGCCGGTAGGGATGCCAGCCCCGACTTCAAGCCCATCTCGCTTCTTCCCAAACTTCTTCCGATCTACAAGAAGCTCCTCTCGGAACTCAAGGCCGAGGGTGTTGAATGGGTCCAACTTGATGAGCCTAACCTCGTCATGGACGTTGCTGAGCAGTACCATGAGCAA